CTGGCCAAGGCCGTAGCTACAGAGTGTAAGACAACCATCTTCAACATCTCAGCTTCCAGCATTGTCAGCAAGTGGAGGGGAGACTCTGAGAAACTGGTCAGGGTAGGCTGTCAGCTATAGGAAGAATTTTACAAAAACATGTTTGTATACTATACTTTGTGTTTTGTGTTTCATTTTTTTTAGGTCTGATTACACTGGTCAACACTGAAATTGTTACTGACCTAAAAAGGTTCTAATCTGTAGTGTCTTGGTGTGCTGAACACAAATATGAGCATGAAAATTTTGTATTTGCTCTCGTTTGGAAGATATTTCATATAGGTTTTTTTCTATGTTTCACTGTGTACATTTATCCAGCAGGACTGTAACAACATCCTAAATAAGCATAGAACGATGTAATATTGCATCACATTGGATAATACCATCATGTACCCATCATCCAGAGTTTATTCTATTATTTCCTGAAGCAATGCAGTACTACTGCCAGGCAGCTGCTGAAGTAAGCTGACATCAGCAGTGTACTATACAAAGCCTAGTTGGAAAATTTGAGAAATATTTCAGACTTCATGGGATACAGTTTAAGCTACTGTTACATAAAACTGTCATTATTCTATCCATTTAGTTACAATAAAGAACACTAATGCCTTAAAAGTGTGTTAATGCTGTGGACAGTTTTTGCTATATTTGTGGGGAAATGACATTTGCCAACCAGAAGAAAGTATCACTTCTCAAGTGAAGAAGGCATATCGTCTTTACTTCGGATGCAAGATTGGCGATCAAGACAAGCCTTGGGCCCCGCATATATGCTATGCTACATGTACAACACAGCTTTCATAGTGGTTACATGGCATACATTCCGTGATGTAAACAATAAATATTGCAGATTACAAATAAACTAGAACCAATTTTGCATTTTGACTGTCATATTCGTTTTGAGTAAATAAAAACTGATAAGAAATGACTCATTTTATTTCTGTAACATGACTTTTGTACAAATATGTTGACCGTGTATGTAGTGTAAGTTATTTAATACATGTGTCTGCACGTTCTATTTGAGCTGGCCGGGTACCACGCTCCATCCACCATCTTCCTGGATGAGCTTGAGTCAGTGATGGGCCAGAGAGCAGCATGGGGTGACCTTAACCACTAAGTGCAGTAAAATGTAGATATGCCACTGCTGCTGTCCACAAAAACTCTGTTCACTGCTTTCAGAGGCGAGCACGAGGGGAGTCGCAGGATGAAGATCAAGTTACTGGTTCAGTTGGATGAGTCTTACCTCTTCACCAGCTCGCCAAGCCATGACGTCTCACTGGCTGCCTCTTCTTAGCTGCACAGGAGGCGTTGAGCTATGCACTGTACTGGAGTACGAAGCATTGGCAAAGGCGTTTAATCATTATGCTTCACATTTTTCAATTACCATTTGATTTCATGAAATTATATATGTTATCTAGAAGGAAATGTGTTCATTCACGTGCTTCTGTGTTTTATTTCCAGGAGTTGGAGGGCTACTCTGGCTCAGATATAAGATGGCATGTAAGGAAGCTGCCATGAGACCAGTTGGAAAAATCTTTGATGCTCTGGAGTCACATCAGGATGGTAGGACAACACACACACACACACACACACACACGCACACGCACACACAACCTGCAGCTGAATGTAGCTATAACAAATGAGCTGGTGGTAGAAACAGATCCCAACCCTCCCCTGTCTGCATTGGTGGGACTGATGTCGAAATAGTCACATCCTATAAGTATCTGGGAGTTCAACTGGATCACAAGCTGGAAAGTTACAGGAGGTCGTTCCTTCCCGCTGCAATCAGACTCTTTAATTCATCCACTTGGGTCAGGTCCACAAATGTGGAACATAATTAATCACACCTCAGTGCACCCTGTCACTTTTGTACACCACGACACATATTTGCAAACATACTTGTCCTTTTATATTTATACTTATATCTCTATATTTATCTTAATATTTATCTACCAGTATCTCTGTTTCTACACTCATTTTATGAGTGCTTGTTGTTTGTTGTATATTTGCTGCTATGACAACTCAATTTCCCTCTGGGATTAATAAAGTTTCTCTGATTCTGAAAGTCAAGATTGACCCCTACAACAGCCATCTTCTCTGTCTTACTTTGATTCTCTTTTACAGACGACACAGCCCGCCATCCAACTGGAAACTGTAACAACGACTGATTTCCTGAATGTGATTGAACACACCAAACACTCAGCACGAAACCTGATAGACAGATACACAGCCTGGAAGAGAGAGTACCAATCTGTCTGACACTAGAACAGCACAATTTAAAATTTAAAAATGCTGGTTGAATCATTTGTTTTCTTTTTTTATTATCTGAAAAAAAATATACAACCTAATACAACAACTTTTGTTATGGTGACTGGTACTTTGAGTCAAACTACTATAGCATGACTGTTTTCGATTTATCGGGATGTTCTGAGGAAAATAATTTCAAATCTTAAGTCTCTCCACTGTTGAAACACTAGCAGTGTTTACTTGTGCAAATGAAACTGGAAGTTTATTTTTACTTGGCGCTCAAAGCAGATTCTGCAGGATGTGTTCAACAGCATCTGGGAAACTGTCACATGTCAGGTGGGGAGATGGGCTTATTTTGTTCTCATCGCCTTCTCTGTATTTACCTAAAACATAACAGGAGAGAAGATGGTTAGCAACAAGAAAAAAAATTATGACAGATGAAGTAGCTAGAAATGTAGCTTCTAATAAAGACACCACAGTGGAAGAGAAAGCTGGAGGGATCAGCTGAAGATGAAATGAGAAGCTGACTGTTTCTCAGCTCACCAGTTCTGACAAGAATACCCAACATTCCTGAATTTTGAGCCCCGCCTACATCATCTCTGGCGTCCTTTGGAGAAAACAAACAAACAAACAAACAAACAAACAAAAAAAGCAGACCTACTTTTAGTAAATTGTGAGGGTGTTAATCAGTCACAGGCTGGTGAAGAAATATATATCACAGGGCCACTCAGTGTAAAGACCACCATTTTATTTTAATGTTACCACTAGGAAGAAAAAAAAGATTTTTTAAAATTAGTATATCTTGTAAGAGGTACTAAAACTGTCAACAGCAACAATAACATTACAAATAATGGTTATACTGTATACAAGAGAATGCCAAAAACTCACTTTCTGTCAAAAATGATAATATACTTACATCGCCTATCATGACAGCTTCACTGGGGCTACATCCTAAATCAGACAGAGCCTATTTGAAGAAATGAGAAGAGTCTTCAATGGTTGTTAGTACCAAAAAGCATTAAAAAAAAATCAAATACTAAACACAAAAAGATTGTATAGATGCTATAATGTCAAGTAAGTATCTGACGTGTCTGTTATGAAATCAACAATCGTCTTATTACATGAGGAAAAAATAAAATCAAAATAAATTCCACACCTGTGTAAAAAATGTCTTTTCAGGCTTTCCAACTACAGTAGCTTTACAGTCGGTGGCATACTCCAGTCCCGTCACGAAAGGCCCGGGTCCGAGGGCCAAACCATCCTTACGTTTGTAGTAGCGAGCCTTATGGATGGCGATGAGAGGAGCTCCATTCAGAATCATTCTTGAAAGAAATACACATTTAAAACAATGACAGTTTAGAAAGCAAAATCACAAACACCAAGTTTATTATATGGTCTCATTTTTCAAGAAATAAGACATAACTGCACAAATATGCCCAAATAAAACACTTGCTTTGCTACTACTGTATATCAAAAATAAATAAATAAATAATACAAAGTATCTGATATTTTTGAGTAAAAATATCAGACACACTGAAGATTTTGCTGATATATATGTCAGGTGCTAAACTTATGACCAAGTTTAACACCTGAAAGCCTTGTTGAGTGTGGAGTAGTTGAAGTGATCAGGAGCAAGTCCAATGACGACAGCATTCGGCTCTGACGTCTCAATCCCTGCAAAAGGAAGAAAAAATATATATAACTGGAGGTTTTTTAATAAATTATTATTCATCTATATAATTTTATAGTAACTGCTAAAGAGATATAGATTTATGAATTCTTTGTGCTTCATTTTTAACAAAATGCTTGTAGACAATTAGAATTTTTTATAAAGCTATAATGTCTTAAACATAAATAGTTTATCCTATTTGGTTACTGAAACAAATGATAAGTAAAACAACATAAATTCAGGTCTACCTCTCTGTCACTCACACTCACACACACACACACACACACACAACCACCACCACCACCACCACCACACACTCTCAACTTCGTACCAGTGAAATCTTCCAGGGCGCTGTCTTCTACCAGCAGCAGGGGTCTGTGTTGTTTCTGCTCTAACAAACTCCTTGCTGCACTCAGAGAAGTGAAGATCTCATTTTCCTGTACAGTAAAGGTCATTTTTCAAGATCACATAAGGCAGCACTCTCGAGGTCAAAATGGCATTACAGTCCTTTCAGTTTGTTGATTTATTAAGTAAATCACCAGTTTTGCTTTTCTTCGCCTAATTTTGACTTCTGCACTAACATTTTTTTCATCACTTTACTTTTGGGTAAAAACAGACTTTACAAAACAAGATCACAGCGGTTCCCCTTCTAAAGGTCATTTTGATTTCTTTTGGTACTGCAGTAAAAGTTTCTGCTATAAGAAAGGGTGTGGTTATTTCACCTGGAGGTTAAAACTGAGGCGTTGCAGCCTTTCAAATAAGATCCTCTTACTCTCCTTGGTTGTGTTGGTCACAAACTTGACAGCTACAGACGCCTGCCGTAACCTGATAATGCACAAAAACACAAAAGAAAACATCTAGTAATTCAAACCATGTTTACAATTCACAGCACTCTATCGTAGGAAAAGAACTGATCCAAGATAAAGATATGCAGCAAGCACAAGACAGAAAAAGGTTTTTGAGTAGTGTTCAAGTAATATAAAAAAATTTTTTTCAGTCTTTCTTTTCATTCATAGAGTAACATCCTGACTCAATGTGCCATTTTATGTCTGATTTTTTCCCTCCTGCCATCTACCTGTTAAGGGCATCCTGCGCCCCGGGCACTGCTGTGTCTTCTATATGCAGAGTTCCACTCAGGTCAATGAGCACAGCCTTCAGCGCTTGTCTGCCTGCCATCCTGGAGGCCTGCACAGGAAAGAAAGGCAATGATGTCACGAGCAGTCATTTTCTTAATAAATTAATCTGTTATTTTTGTAAGGAAACACTAAAAATTGCAATATAAGGTGAATGATATTCTGTAATCTAATTTATCTATATTTATTCAGATTTACAGAATAAATTGTAGTATTTATAAAGTCAGAACTGGGGAATTTGGGACATTTCCTTTTTGTTGTTGCTTAAACTAATGATCAAAATCCTCTTTACAATGTTTTCACTTGTTGTGAACTAATCTGAAAGAGCACAAATACAGGATGTTCTTAACATTTTAGATAACACATTAGATAAGACCTGTTTGGAACACAGTATCTGATTACGATTTCTAAACCGCTACATATGACCATCGTCCACTGTAATTGAAGCTTTAGTTGTTTTTTTTTTTGCTTTTTTAAAAAAAAAAGCTTATTCTTTGATAACAATTTATTATTTTGGAGATTATATGTTTATAATCATAATTCACAGTGGTGGTGGCAGAATCTGTCAGATTATCGGCCAAACTGAGAGGATTACTCACCAGTTTCTGTTATGGGTTTCTGCCGAGAATACAGATTTATGGATCTGTAGGTATTTGATTTCAGGCTATGAGTCCCTATTATTTAGACATACTTGGATTTCTGTCATGTAGTTATCAGTGCAAGGGTACAATTAATGCTCTTAATACCCACCTAAAACCACACACACACACAAACGCAGAGCGTGTAGGGGCTACGTATCTAACATCTGCAGTCATCTCTACAGACAACAGAAAAAATACTGAACTGTCAAGAAAGTGCTAGGATAAAAATAATAAACCTGGTTTATGTGTGTGGTAAAGGTACTAAATCATAACCTAAAGATGTAACTTAACAGGCTTGACAAGTCTCTTACATTCAGGCCTGATGTATTGTACAACATTACTCCACTTTGTATGTTTATTTAATATCTGGCACACTTGTAGCGTGCGTACAGTGAAGTGGGAAACAGGCAGGAAAAGAATAAAAATCTAACACATATTCGTATCTCGTACACATTTGTCGTTCCACATTTAAAGCTTTCAGCACTTACGATGCGTGCATAATTGTACTAAACATTGTAATGGCTGTTTTTTGAGAAAAGGTGTATAAACTGATGTGCTGTCTGTTTGACAACTTGTGTACTATCCGTCTGATAATTGAATCGAATAAAACATACATAAAACTGTTAATACATCTTTGAATAGAATTCGCATTAAAACATCTCATGACAAAACTTTGAAGCAAAAACAGGTTTGGTCCTAAAACTTTCTGCTTTGAGAAATTAAAAATCGTGAACAGTAAGGAGCAGGTTTTCTTCTTTTGACCACTTTAGTTGTCAAAAAATCCTTCCCCCCTTGTGGGGGGGAAGGATTTTTTTCGAAAGCTATTTAGTATTTTAAATAATATTTCTGAACCACTCTTTCAAAAACCGGGTTTACATGCTGTATCAGGAGAGGTGTAGTGTACACAATAACAATAAGTAAGCTTTAGTATTTTGTGCATGAATTATTTTCAAACTCATTGTGATGAGACAGAAAATGGTTCGAATGTTTTCGGAATCATATACAT